TGTCTTCTCATTTTGCTTAACTTACTGTGTTTGTGGTCTCCTTTTTGCAGGCTGCAGGTTCGTAGTTCCCGTTGTTTTTGGTGTCTGTCCCCAGTGGCTAAGGTTGGTTCAGTGGGTTGTGTAGGCTTCCTGGTGGAGGGGACTAGTGCCTGTGCTCTGGTGGATGAGGCTGGATCTTGTCTTTCTGGTGGGCAGGTCCATGTCTGGTGGTGTGTTTTGGGGTGTCTGTGAACTTATGATTTTAGGCAGCGTCTCTGCTAATGGGTGGGGTTGTGTTCCTGTCTTGCTAGTTGTTTGGCATGGGGTCCAGCACTGTAGCTTGCTGGTCATTTAGTGAAGTTGGGTGCTGGCGTTGAGATGGAGATCTCTGGGAGATTTTCGCCGTTTGATATTATGTGGAGCTGGGAGGTCTCTTGTGGACCAGTGTTCTGAAGTTGGCTCTCCCACCTCAGAGGCACAGCAGTGACTCCTGGCTGCAGCACCAAGAGCCTTTCATCCACATGGCTCAGAATAAAAGGAAGAAAAAGTATAAAGAATTATAAGTAGAAAGAAAGAAAGAAACGAAGGAAGAAAGAAAGAAAGAAAGAAGGAAAAAAGGGATGAAGGAAAGAAGGAAAGAAAGAAAAAGGAGGGAGGGAGGGAGGGACAGAGGGATGGAGGGAGGAAGGAAGGAAGGAAGGAAGGAGGGAAGGAAGGAAAAAAGAAAGAAAGACGATAAAGTAAATTAAAATAAAGTAAAATATAAAGTTATTAAAATAAAAAATAATTATTAAGAAAAAAAATTTTAAAAAAACGGACAGATAGAATCCTAGGACAAATGGTGGAAGCAAAGCTATACAGACAAAATCTCACACAGAAGCATACACATACACACTCACAAAAAGAGGAAAAGGGGAAAAAATCATAGTTCTTGCTCTCGAAGCCCACCTCCTCAATTTGGGATGACTCGTTGTCTATTCATGTATTCCACAGATGCAGGTACATCAAGTTGATTGTGAAGCTTTAATCCACTGCTTCTGAGGCTGCTGGGAGAGATTTCCCTTTCTCTTCTTTGTTCGCTCTGGTCCTGGGGTTCAGCTTTGGATTTGGCCCCGCCTCTGTGTGTAGGTCGCCTGAGGGCATCCGTTCTTCGCTCAGACAGGACGGGGTTAAAGGAGCAGCTGATTCGGGGGCTCTGACTCACTCAGACCGGGGGGAGGGAGGGGCACGGAGTGCGGGGCGAGCCTGCGGCAGCAGAGGCCAGCATGATGGTGTGCCGTTGCACCAGCCTGAGGCCTGCCGTGTGTCCTCCTGGGGAAGTTGTCCCTGGATCCCGGGACCCTGGCAGTGGCGGGCTGCACAGGCTCCCCGGAAGGGGGGTGTGGATAGTGACCTGTGCTCGCACACAGGCTTCTTGGTGGCGGCAGCAGCAGCCTTAGCGTCTCCCGCCCGTCTCTGGGGTCCGCGCTTTTAGCCGCGGCTCACGCCCGTCTCTGGAGCTCCTTTAAGCAGCGCTCTTAATCCCCTCTTCCAGGTACGTGGGGAGTTTCTTGCCTTTTGGGAGGTCTGAGGTCTTCTGCCAGCATTCAGTAGGTGTTCTGTAGGAGATGTTCCACGTGTAGATGTATTTCTGGTGTATCTGTGGAGAGGAAGGTGATCTCCGCGTCTTACTCTTCTGCCATCTTCCCTGGAGTATATCGAGGCAGATTCTTAACCACTAAGCCACCAGGGAAGCCCTGTGAAGTTTCTTTTTAATTAAAATTTTAAAGTACAACACGTACAGATAAGTGCACAAATAATAAACATATAGCTTGATGAATTTTCACAGAGTGAATACACTCATGTAACTAGCACAAGAAGTAGAACATTGCCAGCATTCCAGATGCTCTGTTGGCATTCCTGCTCAGTCACTTCCCCCACCAAGAATACCACCATCCTAACTTCTAACACGATTGATTAGTTTTGCTTGTTTTAAACTTTATGTAAATCGAATCACACAGCATGTATTCTTTTATGCCGAGCTTCTTTCTCTCAACTTTTATTTATTTATTTATTTAGGCTGCACCATGCAGCTTGTGGGATCTCAGTTCTCTGACCAGGGATTGAATCCGGGCCATGGCAGTGAAAGCCCAGAACCCTAACCACTAGACCGTCAGGGAACTCCCTCTCTCAACTTTTATGACTATGAGATTCATTTATATTGTCGTATGTAGCTTTGAATTGTCCATTCTCGTTGCTGTATAATATTCCATTGAATGAATCTACCACACTTTATTTATCTATTCCAATATTTGGGGTGCTGCTCTGAACATTCTAGTATGTGTTGTTTGGTGATCATATGTATGCATTTACGTTGGATACATACCTAGGAGTGAAATTGCTGGATCCCAGAGTAAGCATATGCTCCACTTTATTAGACACTGCCAAAGAGTTTTCCAAGAGGTTGTACCAATTTACACTCTTATCAACAGTGTGTGAGAGTCCCAATTGCTTCACACCCTTCCCAACACTTGCTAATGTCTGGTGGGTGTGTAGTGGTTGCTCATTGTAGTTTTACTTTGCATTTTTCTGATGATTAGTGCAGTAGAGCACCTTTTCATATGTTTATTTTTTACTGTATGCCTTTTTAACCTTTTGGTTATTGCACCATGTTAATATATTATTTATTCCAAAGCAAAATTAAAAAAACAAAACCAAGGTGCGGAGGTGTTACGGCTCCTTTTCACCAGTTAAGGGGGCGAGTAAAGGAGAGACAGAGAGAGAGAGAGAGAGAGAGAAACTCTCTTCAAAGTTCCTTACATCATTGATTCTCAGCATTTGATTGTACACTCCAAGATCCTTCTTCCCGCTTCCCAAGTTGGCAATATCATGGTTGGGACTCCACCGTAGAAAAGCAGAAAGAAAATGTTTATACATACACAGAGAAAAACCCTTACTTTAAAAATTCTTCCCTTGAGCAGACTGCTTTTTATAAGTTGTATTGCCCCTTTTGTATTAACTCCTTTCACAAATAAAATTCCTTGTGGGAATCACGTGGGACTGCCCGATGTTCAGCTCCACCCAGCATAATGGGCAATATAACACTAACACCCAATTTCAAGATCAAAGTGCCTTTCATTTAAATGCTGTTGTGTTTGTTGTTGTTTTTAATTAATTTTTGATCCAGAGCAGCTCTGAAATTACCCAAATCCCAAGCAGACATGAGAAAAGGAGTTGGATAATTTGTAAAGTACAAAAAAAAAAAAAATCCACTTAAGTGCCTGCTGATTCTAAAGTTATCTGTAAAGGAAAGGATAATAGTTTACTTTATATATTAGCCAAGTTAAAGATATGTTTGAGAACTTTGGACTCCAATGTAAAAAGGAGGATTACACAGTATAATTATTTAAAGTACCTTCCCATTGGTCAAGGATTATAATAAAAGATGTTAACCAGCTATACCCCATGTGTACTGATGACATAAAACAAGAGGTAATGGGAGATATGACATAAGCAATTCAGTTTCATGGGAAACAAAGGTGAATTTCTCAATTAAAAAATTTTTTTTTCAGTTTAAAATTGGTGTCTGAGGCTTGGAGGAGTGACATTAGATTCTGAGTGAGAATACCACACTTATGTGAACTTGTAAGTAAATAAAATACGGTTTAAAATCCTGAAAATGTATAATTTTCTCGGGTGAATAAATTTACAAGATATAAAAGTCAAACAAAAATTACAAGTTAATCATATTCTCTAATATGGACTTAGAAAGAGCCTATGTACTGAGAGTGAGATTATGTTTAGACAAAAGACTTACGGACTCACAACAACAGAAACAATCGTGAAAAAAGCTCAGTTTTACCCTGTGCTGGGCACATTAGGTGTAATAACTTGTTTAGCCCTCACACCAGCCCTATGAGGTGGCTGCTATTGCCTTCACTGTTTTGCAGTGGGTGAAATTAAGACATATTTTGGTGACTCAAATCCAAAATTACATGGTTAGTAAGTAATACAGCTGATTCATGAACCCAAATTACATCTCCAAGGCTGCTAGTTTAAAAAAAAAACAAACCTAGAAAAAATTAGTTATCTTTTATCTTAAAAATACTGGTAAATTCTCAGATGCAACAGTAATGTTAATAAAACGATGTTTATATTATAAAAATATGAAGAGATTTTGTCAAATATTAAACAAGTACAGTAACACATTCTATAGATAGAGAAGTAAAGGAGGACAATTAGAAAGGGAAATAATGAACTTACAGAAATTCAGGTTCGAGGGATTTGGAGCTATAAAAAACCCCAAAGGGGAAAAAGACATCAAAGACGAATATATAAGAAAACAAAAAAGTTATGACCAGAAGTGTTTCTTCTCTATGTATGGTAAACAGCTACTAAGCAGAAACTTCTAAGGCTAAGGGGGAAAATGGTTCAAAATTAATACTTTCCTAATTTCAAGTAGGGCAATGTTCCAAAGACAAAAGAAAGCTTCCAATGTTAAAAGATCTCATAGTGTTACTGAACCAAACTTGTGTCCACTCACCCTATGCAGTCAAGCCAATCTACTGACACTGGATTGTGGTGAAGGAAAGTACAGTGTTTATTATAAGGTGCCCAACATAGGGTCAAGCAAGGAGAATAGCCAGCTCATGCTTATAAGACCCAAAGTCCCTGATGGCTTTCAGGGAAGGGTTTTTAAAGACAGTGTGAGGGAGTGTGATCAGCTCATGCACAATTCTGATTGGTTGATGGTGAGGTAACAGAGTGATGTTTTGGGAATCTCAATCATCAACCTGCTGGTTCCAGCCAGTCTGGGGTCTCAGTGCTGGTGGTCAGCATGCAGTTAACTTTTTCCAATTGGTGGCGGTTTTAGTATCTGCAAAACAACTCAAGGATGTAGCTCAGGATATTATCTCTAGCCATTGAGGAGAAACTAAAGGTCCTTGACTTTGTTTTATGGATAAACTATTATTATGTTGTCTTGCTTGACTACTTTCCTTTGTTTCTGCATTTTCTCACTTCTCTAATTAAATTTACCCTAGGGAAGGCCTAGGAGGCTAAAGCTTTTCTGCAAACAGATGCGAGGGACATGGAGCGGTCTGTCCCAGGTAAGGCCCCTCGGGGTTCTGCTTGGTTTCAGTAGTTCATGTTTTCTCTTTATAGACATTAGAAATCCTTTGCCTTTTGGTTGTTTCAAATACTTTAAACCGTGGTTCAGCTAATCATATGAGTAATGAATAATAGTGAGTTTAAAAATGATGGGCTTCCCTGGTGGCGCAGTCGTTGAGAATCTGCCTGCCAATGCAGGGGACATGGGTTCGAGCCCTGGTCTGGGAGGATCCCACATGCCGCAGAGCAACTAAGCCCATGAGCCACAGCTACTGAGCCTGCGCGTCTGGAGCCTGTGCTCCGCAACAAGAGAGGCTGCGACAGTGAGAGGCCCATGCACAGCGATGAAGAGTGGCCCCCGCTCGCCGCAACTAGAGAAAGCCCACGCACAGAAACGAAGACCCAACACAGCCAAATAAAAAAAAAAATGAAATCACTGGCCTCTTGTCTTCTAAAATGGCCCACACTCTGTGGAGTGTTTCTCCCAGGGTCATTCTTGCCTTTTGAGACGAACCGCATTCTGTCTATGGAATGTGTTTCTCTCTAAATAAATCCACTTCTTCCCTAAAAAAAAATGATACCATCTAGAGTCACCAGCTAAGAACAGGGTATTCAAAATAGCAAAGATTTATCTTGGGAGTTCCCTAGTGGCCTAGTGGTTAGGATTCCAGGCTTTCACTGCCGTGGCCTGGGTTCAGTCCCTGGTCGGGGAACTGAGATCTCAAAAGCTGTGCAGCACGGCCAAAAAAGAAAAAAGAAAAGATTTATCTTGATGATGTTAACATAAATAATTTTAGATTAGTTTCTGCCACAATTTTAAAAAGTTATTTGGATTTCTTTTCCTAAATATTAAAACAGAAGATTGCTTGCCTAATTAATTCCCCAAATTCTTCCCCTATTCCACTCAGTTTCACATAGAAACAAAGGAAGTAATTATCTATTGAACTTTATTGAAGATGAGCGTTGAGTTCTCTTATAGCCACTGCCACCCACAAACACGCATGTGTGGGCACACAAGTAGAGTCAGAAAGTATCTGAGAGGGAAAATGTACAATACAATTATTTGTCTCTTCTGTCCACTCTCAATTAAAAGAGAAAAATAGACATGGAATATTGGATGAAGAAAAAAGTTTTTTGGACCTAAGATATTCTGTTCATTTATGTGCTTTGTTTTTTTTGTTGTTGTTAGTAATTTTTTATTTTTTTAATATGTGCTTTGTTATAGATTACTTTCCTCTTTACTAATTAAAAAAAAAGCTGGAGAATATTTAAGACCTTGTTAGCTAAATAAGAAACCTTAACCATCTTGAAGGCAAATTTCCAAGTAAGAGTAAATTTGACTATGCTTTTCTCTTTGTCATAAGCCATAGGGGTCCTTTCTATTGTGCCTCCCTGACATTTAGTATAAGGAATTAAGGACTCATAATATTTTGCTAAAGAACCTGTCTTTACCCACCCTGTGTTAGGCATGTATTAGCTCCAATAGCTTGTAAAACATGTTTTGGAGAATTTCATGATGTCATAAATATGTCTATTGTAGAAAATAGTTCCAGCTCACAAATTGTATATGTTATTAATCACTCAAGTCATGGCAGACTGATAAACCACAAGTAAATAACAGTAGTGCTTCTAATAGGATTTATTCACAATGCCACATCTTGTTCTTGCATATACTTCCCCTTATCCCATTTAGTTTTATTTCTTTCATTTAATCCTAAGTCGGTGTTAACATTATTATGACTATGTAAATGTTGTTCCTAGCTGAGACATATAATATACCATTATTATGCTTCCTTTCATATATGACATTTTGTTTTTCCTGGAGTTATTAATTACTTTGGTTATTTTATTTTAATTTTTTGGCCACGCCCTGCGGCTTGTGGGATCCTAGCTCCCCAACCAGGGTTGAACCCGCACCCTCAGCAGTGAAAGCGCGGAATCCCAACCGCTGGACTGCCAGGGAATTCCTATTTTGGTTATTTAGTTAGTTTGACTGATTTGTTTCCTCGTATTACCTATTACTAATTTTTCTGCCAAACCCCTCCAGAGATGTAAAGCCATACTCCATAAGGTCAAACAAATCAGGTAATCTAGTTTTTGTTTTTGTTTTCTATTTGGAGACATATTTCCCCCTGAAGGTAGAAGTCATTCATCTACCCTTCTACTCCTGTAAGGATTGATTGATCTTTAGGCCTGCTACACAGATGTTTTCCTGGGACTTCACTTTGCCTTTCTTGGATTCCCCTGTCTGCTGGATGTCATTCTGTTTTTGACTATTTGGGTTGTTTCCAATTTTTGGCTATTATGTACTTTTTTTTGGGGGGGGGGTATGCGGGCCTCTCACTGTTGTGGCCTCTCCCATTGCGGAGCACAGGCTCCGGATGCGCAGGCTCACTGGCCCAGCCGCTCCGCGGCATGTGGGATCTTCCCGGACCGGGGCACGAACTCGCATCCCCTGCATCGGCAGGCAGACTCTCAACCACTACGCCACCAGGGAAGCCCCTATTATGTACATTTTTGTACATGATTCTTCACATAAGGATTTCTGTTGAGTGTATACCTAAGAGTGGAATTGCTGGGTCATAGGTTGTGCATATGGTGAACTTGTGAAATTGGATGGAAAAAATTCCCGTCTTTATTTTCACTAACCATTAAATGAAATTTAGCATTTCCCTCAATTATGAATGTAGACAACAAACCATAGCAATATTAGCAGTACTTGTGAGTTTGACTAATAGAAATCATAGATCTTTTCCTAGCACATTACAGTTGTTGCACATAACATGAAATACTGTTTTTGCTGATGTCTTCAGTTCCTGAACTTTTCTGGGTTTCTGCAGCACAAACTGGCTTATTTCCTGTTGGCTTTCCCCATGCGTGTACTTAGTCTCATAATTCCTCCATTCAGCTAAGCAAGTTTTATGTCCTTGTGGGTCCATATCTTTTATCCATTATCATTTTAGTGGGATTTCAGAGTGTTGTGGAGATGAAAACATGTTTCCAAAGTGTTCTATATGGCTTTAAATTTAAATCAGATCTGTAGTTATATATCTTTTTTCCAATATTATTTATGTATACCTTTAATCTTTTTAATAGGTCAATATAATTTTTTAAAATTATATTTATTTGTTTTTTAAAATTTATTTTTGGCTGAGTTGGGTCTTTGTTACGGCACTCGGGATCTTTTGTTGCAGTGCATGGGCTTCTCTCTAGTTGTGGCACGCGGGCTTGGTAGTTGCAGCACACGGGCTTAGTTGCCCTGTGGCATGTGGGATCTTAGTTCCCAGACCAGGGATCGAACCTGCATCCCCTGCATTGGGAGGTGGATTCTTAACCTCTGGACCACCAGGGAAGTCCCAGCAGGTCAATCTTGATAGAGGTATGTCTGTTATGTTAGTCTTTTCAAAGAACCAGCTTTTGGTTTTGTTGATGATCTCCACTTTTTGGGGGTGTTTGTTTTATTAATTTTGCTCTTTATTATTATTTTTTCCCTCTATCTTAGGGATGTTCTGCTCTTTCTCTAGCTTCATGAATTGAATGCTTTATGCATTAATTTGGAATATTTTTAGAGGTGCACTTAACACTAAATTTTCTTCATGATTCCATTTTAGATGCCTCTCCTATGTTTTTTATATGTGTTTTATTGTTATTCAGTTTTAACTTTTTCATGATTTTCATTAGGATGTTCTCATTAACTCGTTGGCTATTTAGGGTTGTGTTTTTAGTTTTTAGATGTATGTTTTTGCTGTCTTTTTAGTATTGATTTAAAATTTCAACATGCATGTTTAATTTTTAATGAGTTTAGAGTTGATAGATGGAGTTTCCAGTGCTTTAACTCCAGTCCTTCCAATCACACCATCCACTTTTCTGTTATGGTTGTAAGGTATTTGGGTTTCTTTTTGGGGGGGGGCTTCATTTTTTTAACCTCCCCTTTTTATATTAACAGTTAGTACATATTTAGATTTTACAAAGTCTTTACTCACCATTTCTTTTTGCTTTGTTCTCCTTTTTTGGGTTCAATTTCCTTCTTGCAAAAATCTTCATTTTAATAGTTATGTCAGTGAGGGTCTGCAAATAAATAGTAAATGCCCACAAGCTTTATATATCTAAAAATGCTTTTATTTCTCTTTCATTCTCAAATGAAAATTTAGCTGGATACATTTAACCAAGTACCTCACCTTTGCTCCAATGTCACATTCTTAATGAGGTGACCCTGACAAACCTTTAATAACTTTCAAACCATTTCCTGCCCCAGGCAGTATCAATTCCCTTACTTGTTTTTGCCTATTACATAATTCATCTATTTGTTTATTGTTTATTTCCTATCTCTCCCCACTAGAATGTCAATTCTATGAGGGCATGGATTTCTGTCTATTTCATTCACTATGTATCCCAAGCCTTTAGAAAAATACCTGGCAAGCAGAAGGTGCAGAGTTTTTAAAAAATAAATTCTTTGCACTTGCTGAGTTTGTTGAATGAATATAGAATTCCTGATTGACTTATTTTCTTCAGCACTTTGAAGATATTATTTTATCACCTTATTCTATCATCTCTGGTATCTTTTTTTTTTTGAGAAGTCTGTAGTTATTCTTCTTTTGTTACTTTTTGGGTACTCTACCTCTCTTATCTTTTAAGATTTTCTCTCTGTTTTTGATGCTCTGCAATTTTACTACAACATGTCAGATGTGGATTTGTTATTATTTATCTTGCTAAGTACTTAAGGTTGCTCCTTTACCTTGAAGATTTACTTTATTTCTAAAAATTTCTCAATTGTTATCTCTTCAAATATTGTCTGTTTCCCATTCTCTCCTTCTTGACTCCCTATTAGATGTGTGTTAGAATGTCTCATTCCCCCTACCATGTAACCAGGTTTTCCTTTTCTTTTTCATTGTTTTGCTGTGTTGGGTTCCAGGTCATTTCTTCATATGTGTATTCCAATTCAGTGATTCTTTCCTTGGCTGTGTCTAGTCCATAATTTTTAAACTTTGTTTAAAATTTAA